CGAATCTGAAAAAGCATAAGCGCATTTGAAACATAAGTAAATGATAATAATGTAGTATGCAAATTATCACTTTTCATTATTTATTTATTTTTTATATGGCAGCACTAAAATTGGTTATTGTTTAAATCATTTCTTTTTCTTGACAATTTATTACCCTTTCAAATAAAAATAATGTTTTAGTGGCATCATGTAAGAAATAAATTAAGTATATCACATACTATATGATTACCCAAATATTTTTGGCACAGTATATGTTTAGAAAGATATGTATCGAGACTTACATCACATTCTTGCGGAAGAAGTTTATTGTGTTACGTGGAAAAAACGCACATCAGGTGATAAATATGAAATTAATCAAAAATTAACTTTTAGGTTCACATTGGATTTATGTAAAACTATATTGATTTCAAGAGGAACAAACAATAAGATCACTAATCATGGAGAATTGTTCTAATTCGCTAATCTAAGGAGAAAAAACATTTCACACTGAGAAGCCAAAGACCACGTGAGTAGTTAAAATTTGCTGGTTGAACAAAATGGAAATAAAAAGGAATCTTCAATAACCAAGAGAATATAATTTTAAAAGCTTTGGAGAATGACTATTAGAATCACACTGGATTAGAATTACTATTATTACTTAAGTAGATAGATATTTATGAATGTGGAATGCCCTCAAAACAATCTAATTTACCAACTGCCAAATTTTTGGGGGGGAGGAATTCAGATGTGTTGTAAGGGGCTAGCAGTGTTTAGCTATGAAGGATTGTTCTTCTTTTTTTCACATAAAATTTATGTTGTTTAATACAAAATTTTAATGCCATCTTAGTTTGGCTGATGTATTCAATGGTCACTATGAAATTTTTGAGATACACATAACAAAAGATTAATGCCTCAAGTCTTTCATTTCTTGGAATTGATGGGAAAAAAATGCATTTGTAGCCTCATCAATGTCATCTTCAGAATGAAAATGGCATCCATGTAAGTTCTTTTTTGGATTAAAAAATAACTAAAAGTCACACATAACCAGAATGGGGGAATAGAGTGGATTTTCTATCACTCTGATGTGTTTTTCTTCAAGAAACTCAACTGTCACTTTTACTGAATGAGAAGATGCATTATCATGGTGGAGCATGAAAAGAATTCTGAAGAGAATGACATACATTACTTTTTTCATGCCTGTTGTCTTTTCACCATTGCGGGCATGGGATCATATTCAACGATGCATGCTTTACTATCTTAACGTGTTGGAACATAAAAAAATTTTGTGTATATTTCATCACACAGTTTCAGAAATAATACTGCAACCACCATCTTTAAGTAATTTCAGGATTTCTTTACTGATTTTAACACACTTCTCTTTTTGGTGCCCAGTTAAACTAGGGGAAACCCAATGGCAAACTAGTTTTTTTTCATATGCAGTCCTTCATGAATAATTTTATGCATGGCAGCAGATCGAATGTTAAGCTCCTTCTGTATCACTTGGTAGGTGCAGCAATTATCATCGATTAACATTTTCTGTATGGCAGACATATTATTTGGGATAACTGCCAGCAACGGCCTTCCTGTGTGTTCTTTATTCTAAAGAGAATTGTGCTCTCTGTAAAATTCTGTAAACCATCTGAGTACAGGAGCATGAGATGGACCTACATTCCCAAATGCTAAGTGTAGATACTGAATACATTCTTCTTGATTTAATCTTACTTTAAAATCATGGCATGGTAATGTTCTTATGTCAACTTGATTTTTCCTTCTGCCTCAAATTTATTCTATGCTAAACTAACTTGCATCTGGCCTATAAAAAATTGTCTGCTAGGATAAAATAGTTCATACTTTCAAATCTAACTGTTAATTCATCTCTACCACCTATTGTCTGCACATATCTAAAAAATTTCAGAGTCATCAACATGTTAAGCCATATTGGTAAAGAATGATATAAATTCTGCATGCATTAAAACCCAAACTGGAGCCTTTAAAGATTGCACACTGAATTTTATTAGTCAGAAAAAAATTAGTTGGATGTTAAACTGATGGGATCATAACAAATGTTTTTGTAGAGAATCCAAGCTAGGTGGGGCAGAACTCATATCAATAGATTAATCATCATAACTCACTGGACCTTTAATCCTGTGAAACATGTATAGTATATGTCTTAGGTACTGCAGGATGTAGAATGCCACCTCCCACCAAGGATGTTCTAGCAGATTAAATAAGTCTTTGAGTGGAATGGCAGTTAATTCTGCAATAACTGAGAGATGATATCATTATCTCTAAAGAAAGACGTTATTAATTGCTGTATACTATTTCAAAATGATCGTGCACTATATTAACTCTCCTAAACAACTATGATAGGAGTCCTTAATTGCTGTTCTGTTACCATGTGAGTATTTTCTCTTTATAATTTTATTTTGTAACTTATAAATCAACAAAATGGTTTTTCGAATGTTCATTTGAAATTTCGCTGTGAACTGTGAATAATGGGAGTTTTTGTAAGTTATCTTTTAATTTTGCATGTTAATGCTAATAAATGTAAATGCATTATTGCCTTAACCCTTTCAGGACGGGCGTCCCATATACGCATTCCCTAAGAACGTCTCTTACAGCCGGGCGACCCATCCAGCATTAGTAAAGATCGCATTCAGAGGACGGGGGATGCGTATATGCATTTTAAGTATATGCATTTTAAGGTGGAACGTTTTTCTGAAGGCCACTAGATGGCATACTGTGTCCATTACTTTTGAAATGAACGCAGTTTTAGGTTCCTGACCTTGAGTTTGATATATTCTGTCTGACTTTGGTATTTTACTCCTCAACTGTTGCGAGGGTGGGGGGGGGGAATGAAAGCATAAACAGAGGTGGGCTCTTTAAATCGCCGCATGCTAATATAAATATTCGCGTGTCTTATTTATATCCAATTCCTTTTTTTATTCTATTTTTTTCCTGTACTATATACGATCTTTCAGGGTTACTGTGCGGAGTTATTTTACGTTTTGCATTGCCTTCAGATATATTTCCGTTCCTTTCTTTTTTTTTTAGGAAAGCCCTCACTCCAGTCTATTATGGCAGGAAGGCGCTATTATCAGGAGAAGATACCCTTGCATGGTTAGTGAACCATTTACTAACGGCAAATGAGAGTACTGATCATTTTTCTAAAGAGTTAAAAATTCATACTTTTTCTAAGAGTTTACAAAGTGATACTTCTCTGTGCTTCGAGATTTAACATACTCGTTTTTATTTTAACTAAGATTGTTACTTCATACTGTAAATAGTCTTTATTGTGTTCTTTTTATTAATTTTAAACTTTATTGATGGATTTTATCAATTAAAACTTTGGAATAATTTGAATAGCGCTTCCAAAAATTATTTTAGATGATAAGCAATTTTTTAAGTGTATTTTCGTGTAAAATAAAGAAAAAAAATTTTAAGGGCTAATTTTAACATATATAAGAGCTCAAGTGATAACTAAAATGGTACCAAAAATTACGATGCTAGAAGCAAAACTTTTGTTTTTCTGATTTTTGTTATAAAATTAGGCTTAGCGATGCAAAACCTCCATCCTGAACGGTGATTGCCTTCGATTCTCTTCTGTCCCGCACGAGCATCTTAAACAAAGGTGTGCCATCGTGAAAAGGTTAAAGAATGTAAAGGAATTCCTAAGTTAGAGAAAATGGTATAAAAATGGGATCACAGTGCTGTAAAATTAGAATTGGCATGAAGCATAATGCAGTCAATAGTTGGTAAAAAAATTTTTGTGTGAATTGTAAAACTGTGGAGTTATTTTAATCTGAATGAAATTAGAAATGGCAAGATTTCTTGGAATATAGTTATATAAACTTTGAATTATGTATTCTGTGACTTCATAAATGTACATATTTTAATCTTTCTCAGTGATTGGAGTTATCATATTAACTACCCAGGTAACACTATTTTGATCAGAATTTTATGTTGTTTATTATTTTTAATTAAGACTAGAAATCACTAATTATTTATGAAGTTAACACTGCCAGTAATTAGATGACAAATTTTTTGTTTCTGCTATTTCCTCTGCAACAACACTTATGTTATAAATATTTTATTTGAATTTGACTCAAAATTATATCTCCACATCTCGTAGTTGTGTTCTCTTTTGATGTCAAATCATAGTTTACCATTGCTATAGCTGAAAGGCAAGCATCTTAAAAATAGACTGTGAGAATCCTATTTCTCATATAATAAAATAAGAATTTTCTGTTAAATAATGTCTGTTGTACTGAATTTTCTTTAACTTGACATGCTTTGTTTTCCAAAATAATTGTCAACATGTAGTAAGATTAATTACTTGTTCATAGCTGTTTTCTTAATCTTATTTTTTCCCCTGATTTTTAGATGTGCTGCTTAAAATCATATTTTTTAAAAACTGGGTTTTATGTTATGGGTTTGCTGCCTTAATATTTTCATATTTGTCATTTCATCATTTAAGAACTAATCAAGTTTGCAAGTCGGTTTATTTTTGAGTCTCGTAACTCCTTTCCATCTTTTGACATTTCGATGACATGCAGTAAATTTAACAACATTCTGTTTTAAAAAGCAATCACTGTAATCTTATTCTTAATTATTAAAAAATTTCTTGATTTCCCCATGAATATGAATAACATGTTTTGCCAACTTATTTCTTTTTATCCATTATATTTGGGCTTCAAAATCTTGCTCAGATTTAAAGTCTTTTGGAATTTATAGACTTCATTACCCATGTGGTTTAACATGAATCAGTCATATTAAAAGTGCGCTAAAATTGTACCTTAAAGAGCATTAATTTAATGTTAGAAAAGAAGAAAATAGTCTCTGTTTGCTAATCATTATGCATGATTTCTTGCACAATTATGATTATGATTTCTTTCATAATTATAAATAATTATGAGATCTCTTGTATATTTATAAATCTTTATTATTTTTTTACATAATCATAACTTTGTCTTTTATTTTTTCAAGATTATTTTGGTTTAAATTGCTGAATTTTGTTGCAGATCGGTTATCAACAGTGACAACAACGTTTTTAGAAGAAAGCAACTGGCATGAAAGTTCAACATGTCGTCTAGTATTTGGCCCTCTTTGTTTGGATATTACAAGTAGTTTAATTCATAGACTATCAAAACTAGTCTTTTCTGCAAAAGATTGTGAATATCCGAATTATTATCAGCCTAGTAAGTTACCCCTTTTTCTATTAATTTTCTATTTCAAAATATTCTCTTAACTACATAGACATAACATTATGCATGTGGATAACAAGTATGTCAGATTAAAATATAAAATCAATGAAAATTCAACTTTCGGTTGAAAAATTTTTTTTAAAGTAAACTATGAATTTTAATGGAAATTGACCCATGTTCCTCTGTCTTGCTGCTACTTGATGCAATTTCCCTTGAAATAGCATAGAATATTTCTGTGACACTGGTCACTGAGTAAGTTTTTGACCAGAGTGTCAGTTATACGGAGCTTAGATGCCAACTCATTGGAACATACTTAGGGCTTGACAGTAAGATGAGTTCTGTTGAACTGACCAAATACAGCATGGAAACTTGTTAAAGATAACAAGAGACTTTGATTTACAGAAGATTTGAGCTCATGCATCACTTTGAGCAGTCAGGGAAAGACAAAACTGTAATGGTGTTGTATTAAAAAAGTAAAATTGCAGCTAAGGTGTAAGTTAATGTAAGAGACATATCATTTAAACATATAGGCAACTAATAAAAAAATAATAAAATTGGAAATGTACAGTTCAATACAACACTATATTTTTTACAAAGCTGAATATGAGTAACAGTGTTGTGTATAAAAGGGGACACTGTACCCATTTTGCTGAAGGAAACTTATGTTGTGGATGAGTTTTGGGCAGGCTGCATGTGGCTTGATATGCCTGAGTAGGCAGTGGCACAGTATGTAATGACTGAGCCAATTTTGTTTTGTGCAGATCTGTTACTGCTAATGCTCGCCCCCACACTGATCAGTTTGTGGAAGCTGGTTTTTCAACCTTTTCGTGCCGCCGCGCCTTTGTTTAAGACGCTCGTGTGGGACGGAAGGGAATCGAAGGCAGTCACCATACAGGACGGAGGTTTTGCATCGCTAAGCCTAATTTTATAAAAAAAGAAATCAGAAAAAAAAAAAAGTTTCACTTCTAGCCTCGTAATTTTTGGTATCATTTTAGATTATTACTCGAGCTCTTATATATGTTAAAATTAGCACTTAATAACGTTTTTTCCTTTATTTTACATGAAAATATACTTAAAATTTTCCTTATCTTGTAAAATAATTTTCGGAAGTGCTATTCAAATTATTCCAAAGTTTTAATTGATAAAATCCATCAATACAGTCTAAAATTAATAAAAAACACAATAAAGCCTATTTACGGTAAGAAGTAACAAAATTTAAAATGAAGACTGTGTGTGGTAAATCTCGAAGCACAGAGATGTATCACTTTCTAACTCTTAGAAAAAGTATCACTTTTTAAATCTTTAGAAAAAGAATCATCACTCTCATCTGCGTTAGTAAATGGTTCATTAACCATACAAGGGTATTCTTCCTCTGATAAATAGCACCTTCGCACCATAATAGACTAGAGGTGAGACTTCCCGAAATAAAAATAAAAAAACTGGAATATATCTGAAGTCAATGCAAAACTGACTGGGCTGTCTAATAACCCTAAAAGACCGTATATAGTAGAGGAAAAAATAGAATTAAAAAAGGAATTGGATATAAATTAGACACGCGAATATTTATATTAGCACGCGGCGATTTAAAGAGCCCACCTCTGTTTACGCTTTTGCTCCCCACCCCACCCTCGCAAGAGTTGATGAGTAAAATACCAAAGTCAAACAGAATATATCAAACTCAAGGTCAGGAACCTAAAACTGTGTTCATTTCAAAAGTAATGGTCACAGAATGCTATCTAGTCGCCTTCAGAAAAACGTTCCAGCTTAAAATGCGTATACGCATCACCCGTCCTCTGAATGCAGTCTCTAGCAATGCGTGGATGGGACGCCCGGCTGTAAGAGACGTTCTTAGGGAATGCGTATATGGGGCCCCCGTCCTGAAAGGGTTAAAGTGGTATTCTGAAGTCTGCGGGGAGTCAAAGGCCTAGTGGTCTGCTGTTCCTTCCCTAGTGCATATACAAAGATCAGTGTCATTGTACCAGAAGCAGAACAAATATGCTGGGAATGGACTGTTTCCAGAGACGTATTGTGTCAGTGAAGAAGTGCTGCTGTGTAACATTATTGACCCTTTTGGAAACCAAAGGAACCTTGCAACCTGTGGTGGCTGTGAACCATTTCTCTTGTCACTTTTTGAGCATGTGCTCCTGAGTGGTCTTCTTAAGATATGATGTTAGGAAGAGTTGAAATCATTTCATCTTGAGGTTGTTAATTGTCTTCATTGTCAGCTGGTTCATTTCCTGTGATAGCCTTGTGGGCTGAACCCAACATAGAACAGGACAGTTAGGCAAAGGAGTTTGCAATATTAGGTAGCAACTGGCATGTGTAGACTTCTGCTATATGTACCCTATATGGCTTAGACATCATGGCATTTGCTGCATATTCAACTGCATAGCAAATTGCAGCATGCGGGCAGTTAAGTCTGCTTTGAAAATGGAATTGTTGAATCAGAGCCTTCATGTCAACTTACACTGAACAGTGATATTCTGCAGATGGCAAAAGCCATTGCCATTTTCCACGTAGAATCCTTCCATGTAGGTGACGTCTGCTACCTCAGTGCACACTGAAGGGTCCATACTTTTTATTGTTTAAAAGTACTAACTGTAGATATATTGCCACGGAGATCATGTGTTCTGTCAAGCCTGTTGACATCTGCAGTGATAGCCTCCATTTCTCTGCATCTGCAGTGATAGCCTCATTTCTACCAGTAAGGCTAAAGGTATTAATCCTGCAAGAACTTGAAGTGATGCCATTGGTATTGTGCAATATGCTTAGCATATGGTAAGTAGCTGTAATGATGTGGAGAACTGAGGTTCTGCCTCATTTAATGGGACAGATTTTTACCATATTGAAACTTCGTATAGCACAGTATGCTGCATTACTGTCAGATACCATAAGCAAGGGAATCTGGATGATATTTCCCGTTTCATAGTAGCTGTACTGTACAACAGGTTAGCAAATTCGAGCACTTTTTTCTCAATGTAGCGAATATGAGGGAGCTATGAAAACTGGCATTCTAGCATTATTCAGAGATTTCTCAGTTGTGTGACATATTTGATGTTTTTGCTTTGGAGCAGGGCTGGCCGTAGCATGTTTGCAGCCATAGGCAAACCTCAAAAGTGCCACTTCCATAGCTTCAAATACCTTAAAATTAAAAGGAAACATATTTCTAAAAAAATAAGACAATATCACTCAAACAATATTTGCGATTTTTTTTTAATTAAGAACATACAAACATTGGAATAAAAAGTAGTACAAACAACTCTTTTAAAATAATAAAGAATACTAGTATAATATACAAAGTTTAAATCTAAATTAGTCTCTTTTGAACCTTTTAATATGCAAAATCGCAATTAACTTCTTGCTCATCTAATTTATTAGTCACTTAATGTTCAATGGCCAACATTGCTATTTTTACACATCTCTTTAAGTATGTAAACATCATTTAAAAACTCGAGAATATTCAATAGGTTGAATCGAGTGCACTAGCCTGATCTATGGTAAAGCAAAAAAGTTCTATTTTATATTTCTCTTTTGAATCTTACATAGGTTCATCTACACTTTCATATGAAAATTTTATTTTTTTAGAATTAACACGATGACATGGTGTAGTCAATTCAAGTTTCTTAACATCTATTTTAGCTAATTTTTCAGCTTCTAAGATAATGTTGCCAAAGTATTCATCCATTCTTATGTCTTTTAAAAAAAGTTTAAACTGCCACGGAAATTGTGCAAGATTCACTCTCCAGTGCCACCGTTTTTTACACAGGCGCATGTAGTTATGTGATGTATTAGGGTGGAAATAAGTGTAAGTTTTGCAGTCTAAAAACTGTTTACTTTTGCAAAATTAAGAATAATAGAAAAAATGAAAATACAAAATTTAATGTGGAGTAAAACTATAATAAAAAAGATCCCAAAGGATCAAGGAAGTTAATTTACAGAGTGCGCTAGGCTAGGCCTTTAACCCCACATCATCATAGATAAAATAATTACATCGAAAAAGGCAATCATCTAATACGGGAATAATTTGGAAGCCTAATAATATAAAATAACAGCTTTTCAGGTAATGCCTTCCGCGTGAGAAAAAAGGTAAAATCTCATATATCTTTTTATTTAAATTTTGTGCCTAAATAAGGGCCAGAAGTCAATTTTGATAGGGGCAGTCATCATTCATAAATTTAGAATGGAATTAGAAAGGTGCAAAAGATTTCCTTGATTATTGATATCAACAATAAATGAAAAAGTCCTAAGTCACAAGCAGACTGGAAAGAAAAGAGCTATTGTGAGGTCAATAAACTTGAACTCACACACACTTGGAATAGCTGGGTGATAAAGGAGGCGGGGGGGGACCCGTTAGGCGAGTCTTAGAAGCAAGTCAGACTGTCAGCTGAGAGGAGGAGAGAAATTTTGGCTACTATTCAATGCTACATTTAAAGGCCTGGCAGCAATCGACCCCTTAGGGGGAAAGAAAAGTAACCTGTTTAGTGGGTGAAAAGAAGCATTTAAGAATCAATTAAAAGTTAAGGGCAGTCGTGTGCGGCTGCGAAGATAAGGTTGTCCTTTGCTAAAGAGTCAAGTGTAGTAATAAAGATTTAAAAAAAAAAAAAAAATGGAGTTTCGATCAATTTATTTTTAGACTACTGAAGTGTAATGTCAGGTTTCAGTGTTATACCTTGTAAAATCAATATACCTAAAAAAACATATATTTCTTCTGAATTTGTTGGATGCCACGATTTTGTTCTTGATTTTTCTTTTGCAGGATGTTGATTTACATACTGGTCTGCGAAACAATTACTTTCAGTAACAATATGAAACATGAGCAGTTCATCAAAAGATAAGAGGATTTGAAACATCCGTTATATCTTTCTTTATTCCCGGCACCTACTATAAACAGTAAATGAAAACAGAAGACACAATAAAAAATAAAAAAATACATTTTACTCAAACAGAAACATAAGCAATAACCGTGCAGTCATTACTTTTGCAGTTTCAGAAAC